TCGAGTTGTGCGAGGTATCGGCTGAGATTTGTCGAGTACAATTAAAAAAAAACTATAGGTCTAATGAATTATTGTGATGTTAAATAGACAATGTTAGCTATCAAAGAGCGACGTTGTTTTTCATTGGGACCTTCGTCCCTTCAAGGCTAGGCCTATACCATCCTAGCTAGTCTAGGCCTAGAGTAGGATAAGGCTAGCGCGACATACGGACATTGGTACGAGTAGGTAATTGATTTTACCCGGCAGAACGAAAGAAGGAAACTCCGCTTTTCAGTCGTCTTAGGCACTCGTTTTTTGACAAACAATGACCTTTCAGAGGTCAAATTGTTGTCAAGAATATGAATTGGCTGCTTTGCAGCAATGAAGCAAATCAAAATAGAGTTTTATATCTACTATAACTTTTCCATGGCCCATTGTGTCAACAGCAATAGCATAATATGATGTCATAGAAAACTATGAGATGTACAGTAGATAGGAGATGATGGTTGTTATAGGAAGTGATTGCAATAGTATTCCTTTGTGACAATTGAATGATCTTCAAGATCTGTGTAACTTCCTCGTAAAACAATGTTTTATATCTGCAAAATCATGTAAGGTTTTCACTGCATAAAATTCTGAATTGCCTATATTTGAACCCCTGAATCTGGTATAGGAAGGAGAGTGTCGCAACTATCAATTCGCAGCTTAATTTTTGTAGATCTCTACCTTCAGACTCGATGTAAAGCCATTCGTTAATGCTTGATAAAAATCATTAATCCTATCACTATTTGATACAGAATAGATACTGTACAAGGCGTAACAACGAGTCACATGGACCGGAGCGATAAAGTTTTGGGGGCCCAGTGCATTTTAGTAATCAATTCACAACATCAATAATACTGTAGCCTGTTGTATTAATATAATTTTATTCAAATTTACATTTACATCATTATTTCGGACAGTATTTAAATTTCAGTTGTAGTAGAGACTGACTTTGGAACACCTTTAATTCCAGAATTTATATTTGTATCAAAGAATTTATATTTTACCACCTTCAGGGCCCCTTTACCCTAAGAGCTCATAAAAGGTACGCCACTGGCATTGTAGGAGATTGTAGTCTTCCACTATAAAAGCCCATCCACTTATTCTATGATGAATTATATTGTAAAAGGGATTTCCTCTTTCAAAAAGAGAAATATTTTTTCTATTATCAATCAATGGCCCATGTCCCAAAATATACTGTATTACAATTGTACTAAACCAATTAAATGTTACAAAACGATGTTGATCTAAATAGGTATAAATGTTCCTGACTTTCAAAAGTTTCCCTATTAAGGGTAAATTGAATCCAGTTTACCAGGTGGTTCAATAGATTCGGCAATGGGCGTCACATGACCTAACTTGGGTGTTGGTTATAAACAATGGGTTGGCACAGCGGTGTTTTACGTGGAGATTGCTATTGCGGCCATCCCTTTTTATTGTTTAATTCCCAGTAAACTATACCAAATTGATGGGAAATTAAACTTGAGAATTTTTCCTTAAGGTTTTGCTAATGCTGTAAAGGATATTGGCTGCAAACATTGAAATTCTTTTACAAATGTTAGTCCTAGGCCCTGCACATATACGGTTAATTATGCATGATGGTCATGGTCTTCAATCGAACCGCGAACTACGCTGCGATATTAGGGCTATAGCTAAGGTTTATGAATGATTTCAAAGCATACAATCCTAGGAGAATGCTAGGATAAGCAAATAAACACTATTTTGAACAATTGTATTGCCTTTCCAAGCCATTTATTTCTTACGTAAACAGTGGGTGGTTGTTTTCACAAACATAACATTATCTTTTCCTATGCTATTGCACTGTAATGTTTTTCATGTACACCCAAGTTATTGTCACGTGTCACGTTGTCACATGACTGCCTGTAAACAAACATCACCGAATCCCTCTATTGTCCATGCTTCATCACTTTATTTTTACACTGTTGCCATTAGCTCCAACAGTGGCAAATATTTTGCATAAAACCCTTCACACTGCATTTTATTGTTAGATAATATTGAAAATAATGAAAGATGAAAACTCTAATTCTTATTCTTTTTTCTGTAACTATGACATACATAAAAATAATACAACCAAGTAGGTGAGTTGGTAGAATAAACACAAATGCGTATTTGGCATTTTAAAATGTTAAATGGCTAATTATAAATGGATTAAATATGGTATCAATTTCAAATGAGACATAGATAAGTGTTTATCTGCTTAAAGCTTTCTAATAAAAAAATCTTGAAATTTATTACCAGCACAGGGGTCTATGCAAAGCATACACAGTCTTAGATGTAAATTTTTTTTTAATAATTTTTAAATTTTTTTATTATCTTTCTGCAAACGTTCTGTGAAGTATAATATAATTCTATCATTGTCAATAATTTAGTTTTCCTGAATTATTAAGGCTTGGCTTCATAACCGCAAGGGTAAGGCGCAATATAAATACCCAATACCAGTACTCCATTCCATACATTCTAATGGTAATGGTATTAGTAATGGTTGGAGACTTATATAGCGCAAAGTACATGGTCTCTATGCGCAAAACAAGGAAAAACAAGAAAAAACAAAGCTATCCTAGGCTACACAGAAACTAAAAGTCAGAAGACTAGTGTGAAAAGACACCATCATCCAGCTGTAGAAAACTAAGGGTGGGTGATAGACATTTTAAGGGTGGGTGGGTGGTAAGAGTGGATTTTTAGGATGGAAAAGTGGGTTAATAAAGGTGTGTGGAGGGCCATGAATTAGCTATAGCCTGAGCGAAAAAATTCAAGGCTGGATGGCCTTGCCAAACTCTGCCCACCATAGCTACATCCCTGGTCATCCATAATTACAAATGTCAGTTTCCACTTTGAGGAAAAATTTTTTTTAAATAAAAAGAATCCTTTTAAAAAATAACTGGATAATCTACTGTTATTTCTTTCATAGCCTAATAGGCAGATCTGATATGATAATAAAAATATTTATATATATAAACTAAAACATTATATTTTGTAATATACATATGAAACAATACAAAACATGAACATTTTTTTTCAATTACTGTATCTGTTAGAGAGTTGTAGTTTGATTAGAAATGGCAGGAGGTTTCCAACCATCGTCTTTATAGTAGTAAATTTCATTTACTTTTTCTTCACTTTCAAGGTCATAATTTATGTATGTAGGTTCAGAAAAATCATTTCTTGCACTATTATCAATTTCCATTTCTGTTACTGCCATGTTATCTTTCAATTCATCTTCCACATTAACATTCTTATAATACTCCATGTGAAAATTAATATCGTGTGCAGACTTCGGAGCTTGAGGTTTTAAAAAGCAGCAGATTACTATAATACAAGTGACAAACACCAGAAAAATAGATCCGCAGACTGCAATAATTATTATGAGCATGGTACTCAGGGGCGATTCATCGCCTTTTTCATTCAATGGTGAGACTGATTGGTTTCTTGTGATGTCATGTGACCTTGACGTACCGTCACTTAACAATGTTTGTTGACGATCAGTTGATAAGGTTATCCACAAAGCAGTTGGTGTCATTGTGTATGTCTGTGTTGGAACCATTGTTGTTGTGGTGGTTGTTGTTGTGTGTTGAGTTAATGTTGTTGTGTGCTGAGTTAGTGTTGTTGCTGTTGCTGTTGTCGCTATCACATTAAGTACAGCTGTTTCACTCTCTTGCTGCCCATCAGTTGTATTAACTGTACAGGTCACTATCAGTCCATCATAGCTAGACTGAACATTGAAAATGCTCAGAGTACTGCCTGCAGTACTATGGACAATGGTACCTGAATTAGGGAATGACCATGCTATTGATGCGGGAGTATGTCCATCTGAGACAAAGCAGATGAAATTTACATCTTGCCCTGCCATCACCATCTCAGGTGACTGCGAAATCAAAAGCTTTACTTGAGCTGTTAACACCAGTAAGGATGTTGTACATGATTTTGTTACACCACTGCCTTGCATAAATGTATGGCAATTGTAAGAAATAACACCCTGAACATTATTGGGCACACTCAGTATGTATTCCAGACTCAAGTGATTATTAAATTGCTGAGTGGAACTTGCTAAGCTGACTCCTCCACTATTCGCTGGTGACCACATCATCTGTATTGCTGGATCACCAGGATCTGCAGTACATCGTAATGTTACTTGGTCGTTAGGCATCACTATAGTTTGTGTAGGATTAGGACATGTTGGTGGAGGAACAAAATTCCTAATGTATAATCTAGCAGATGCCTTGACATTTGTTCGTTGAGTGTTTAGAATAAAAATACATTGATATGTTCCAAGATCAGATATATCAGTGTTTGTAACTTTCAGTGTTTGGCTCAATGCTGTATTCATTGCAGTTGAAAATCCATCAAGTGCATATTTTCCGCTGGCGTCTGATATGCTGTCACTAGTAGCTATTACAATGGTGTCATTTTTTATCCAAAGTATTCCATGTGAATTACCAGCTTCACCAGACGTTAAAGTTAAAGAACATTGGAACATAGCATTATCACCCTCCATATCTATAGTCACATGATCAGGAAAAGAGATTTCAGCAGCATATGTATTATTTGTTGCAATCACAGTCAGAATTAAAACAGTAACTTGCAACCAGGTGTGAGCCATCTCCAATGAATTGTGTAATTTTTTTACACTGAAGTCAGGCACTCTGTATTTCAAGGTCCATGTAAAAATTATTCAATTTTCTTAAACTGTTAAAAGGAAAAGTGAAATTATTAGGCATTAATGAATAGTCTGAATCAGTTTTATAGCTAGTCGGATTTGAGTGCCGGCTATTACGGAGTGGGGTTAATTAATAGGGCTAGCCTAGATAGTACGAGAGAGAGAGAGAGAGAGAGAGAGAGACAGCTGGCAGGCTGCCATGGTGTTCGCCGCTGTTCATAATTTAGAATTGTAAGTAAGAATAGGTTGATAACCGGTGTAAAATAAGCCGCTTCAAGAATTTCAGGGTCGAAATTTTTGACTTTCCACATCGGAATATATGAATATTATGAGTGACATATTTAACTGATAATTTAATTAAAGTTTACACACATTTTGTGCCGGTCAAATTTTTAAAATTTGCTCTCTGTCCCGGTTAACAAATGCTAGTGCCGGTATACCCGACTGGCGTAGCTACAACACAGGTCTGATTGATATTTTGTGAATTATTACAGGTATAAATAGACTTATGCAATTTTTTAGATTAATATCATTATTTTACATTTGTTGGTGAGAAATTGTTTTCCTGGTAAAATATATCATTAAAAATAATAAATATAGTATTTAAAGACACTTTCAAAGTATAATTTAATTGAAATATGTATAAAAACTGATGACTGAAGAGTACAACTTGTTAACATCTTTAAGGGATATTTAATTATATTATAGTTTTTGTGATTTGATTTATACCCAGTGCCTTTACATAAGTCATTCCATATAGGATGAAGTTGTAATGAATTTAAATAAATTTATATGCAAATACTCAATGTAGAATACACAGGATTTATTTCAGTATGCAAATTAGAATCAAGAAATTGAACTCCTGTAGGCTAAACTGTGATAGCATTCTCTTATGACCAGCATGTTTCCAAATCTCAGTTGAGAGTTTCTTCTCTTTATCCTATAATGTCTTTTCTACACTAGCGAACTTACCTTTGTTTTTATATAAAGTATATACCATATAATGTTTCTGTGATTCAGCCTTAAAAACCTTAAAATTTGAAATCTTGTTACTGCCTTGTCTGTATGAATGCTGTGTATTCAACGCATATTATCTTCTGTTGTCTGCTGCGCCTACATACCAAAACCTGATTTTTTATACCCGAGTAAGTTTCAATGGGGGGCATACTTGATCATGCATGGAAGGTCTGTACAATGAATGCATATCAAAGAAGCTGTAACTCTATTTACCCAGGCTTATAGTCACCTTTTCATTGTTTTTTTTCCATGTGACGTATGTAGTGTTTCCACGGTATGTAAGCATGTCAGCTATTTCTTTTGAGTCAAACTCCTACTGTTTGTGTGGAAGTTCAAATTGATGAAAAATAGAATACATTTTGTTTGTTTCTTTAATACTATATAGGTAATTGGATACAGAAATATTTTTTGAAAATACATAAAATGACAATGAAGTTGTCAGTCGAAAATAGATTTTCCAGTTTGCTTTCATAGAATGGTTTTTATCTCATTGTGAACTTACAATAAGTAAATATATTCTGAATAAAATTTTAAAACCCTTCATCAGTCAATTTAACCGTTGTATTGCTGTATTTTTACTGTAAACTTATTTGATCATTTTACAGTAAGTATTGCTCACTTACTGTAAAATGATCAAATAAGTTATTAACTTTACCATCTAAAAAAGGCATTTACATTTTCATTGATTTACAGATTTTACTATAATTCTTTCAATAATATTATTGTTTGGCAGCTATTTTTTTTAAAATCTGAATTTATATAGCACCTATCACAATCCAGAGAATGTACAAGGCACTGGCAAAATTGTTTCGCCCTGGTCACTGGATAATGAGTTGGCAATCCGGAACATTTTGTGCAACTTTCTTTGTCATGCTGCCAGTGGGGTTTCTGGGGTGGGGAGAGTACACAGGGCAAGATGTGTATAAGAGACAGGAGTACTGCCTGCAGTACTATGGCCAATGGTACCTGAATTCGGGAATGACCATCCTATTGATGCGGGAGTGTGTCCATCTGAGACAAAGCAGATGAAATTTACATCTTGCCCTGCCATCACCATCTCAGGTGACTGCGAAATCAAAAGCTTTACTTGAGCTGTTAACACCAGTAAGGATGTTGTACATGATTTTGTTACACCACTGCCTTGCATAAATGTATGGCAATTGTAAGAAATAACACCCTGAACATTATTGGGCACACTCAGTATGTATTCCAGACTCAAGTGATTATTAAATTGCTGAGTGGAACTTGCTAAGCTGACTCTACTATTCGCTGGTGACAAGTCCTGATTTCACGATCAACACCTTACACGCAACGCTACACACTTTTTAGCATTTGTGCAAATAGCATATATTTCTGTCATTGAATGGCAAATGAAATATTAAAAGTATAATTGTTTTATTTATTGCACATTATTACATCCACAGTCACCTCTGTCTTGTGTGGGTATGTCTCCCATTGTCTCTTGTGCCTTACAATGTATGCATATTCAAATATGTACAGAAATGGAAATGTTTTATTTTTGAATTTATTTTTGATAATGGCACTAGAGATGGTACTTAATTGACTGAGTTTGTGTATTTATATCAGAGAAAGAATCATAAGCAGGGCCTCTAGGATGTTGATATGAAAATATAATACCTTGATCCATTGAGGCATCATTTGTCAAAGGTCATTTTTTAACAGGAACCATATGTTGGAACGGATGTACTTTGGGGTGTGTCTACATTACAGTACATGAGTTATTGTCTATACAGTGCAACAATAAAGAAAGTGTTTCAAAGGGTTTAGCATTCTTGGCAACCATTACATTTTGTATCGATGGCATTATACTTTATTTAATGTCTAAAAGTCCTATCCAGACTATCAAATTTTATATGACAAAAACATGTGACATGCCTAAATATGGTCGTGATGACATCACTGAATGACCATATATAGGCACATCATGACTATATATGGGCAAGGCATACACTATCAAAAATTATTTTATCAAACAATTCTTATTGAGACTATACTTAATATTTTTTATTAACATAAACTTTCATTGTACACAGTAAACTTCTTCATGTGAATGATGCACTCAGAGTGCAACTTAATTTCTATTTATTATGGACTAGTACAGCTAACTATTCAATGCTTATTGAGTCTAAGAGACAAAATTGTGACGTAGGTTATAAATGTAGTTGTTAGAAAATGCTGTTTTGAATTGTAAGGCAAACACCATAACGTCCCGGTCATGCGTAAAATATAATATCGATTACAATTATTTTCAATAGACAGTAGTAAACTAAGCTTTGTTATAATGTGCTTAAAACTCAACTCAGTTCTGTCCACAACTAGCATTCTAAATTTAGACATGCCAATTTGTAGGCGTCAGAATTCTGTTTAAGGAAGCCATCCCACACAATAAGAGGCATTCCCACAGAAACATACTTCCTCTCCCATGGATGGCCTACCACAAATTACATCAATAATGTAAAGCTACAATGTTGATTTTCAACTTTTGATTGATAACAAACAATCATACCATATTTTACCCTGGCAGTTTCTATTGTTTATTTCAAGGAAAGCCCATCCAGAGGGTGTCTAGAAGTGACTGCTGTTAATCTGTATTACAATTCAGTTTTCAGTTTATATTTTTGTTCATGTTACTTTCAAAAGTAGGCCAGTATTCTCAATTTGGCCCAGATTTGTTGAGCATTCTTTTTATTTATGTCCAATCTGTACATTCGTCATCTGCCAAGCAATACAATTTTCTGTATTTTTAAATGGACAAATAAAATTTCTTGAATCTTGAATCTGGCAAATATGGTATGTGCCACAAAATTGGCTACAAATAACTCTGCAAAATATATCTAAAAAATATGTGTGTCACCACCAATCGACAAATCATACGTGTCAAGGCTCACACATCCGGCTTGAGACGTCAGCATTTGCGGTCTGTCTCACGCTTTCGCGCTTGAGGACCAAAATCTCACACATAATATTGCCTATAATAAAAAATATATGTGTGCTCTCTCGCTAAATATCCATCATTACAGTGCTTAAAATAGGATGGTTTTGTTGTAACACATTCGAACACAAATAAATGGTGGCACACCACAACCTGGTTATACATTCAAACACAAATAAATGGTGGCGCACCTCACCCTGGTTACACATTTGAACACAATTAAATGGTGGCGCACCACACCCTGGTTGAGGTAATTGGCTTTCTATTTTAAGTAACCTTCCCAATATAAATTTTGATAAGGGTCGGTAAATATTCGAAAATCTCTAGTTTTTGAGTGAGATTAGATAAAACTTGCTGCAGTGTGGTCGGATAAGATCAAAGAACACACTACAACCGCCACGTGCCTGGCTCATGAGAGTGACAAAAATACTAGCTTAAAGAATGTATTTCCGAGCATCTATGGAAGGATTTTTTTCGGGGGGGGGGGCATGCCCCGGAATGCCCACGACCCCTAGGGGGAGGGTTTTTTAAACAAAATTTTCCACCTGCAAATTAGTTTAACTTGGCATCTATGACAAATGCTGACTATAGGAGGCAGCATTGATGTAGGTGTAGTTTGTTCGCATAGTTTTCAAACTGCGAAAGAAAATAATTGCACCAAGTCTGTCTTTTGCATTGAATAAAACTGAAATAATTGAATCCCTATAATCAATAATACCTGTAAATAAAATACACACATTATCGTTATTTGGAAAAATTAGTTTGAGTAAAGTTTTTAACATGTTTGTCAATGTGTGCAATCTAGCCAATTAACACATTCATTGATGCCAGGTTCTCACTTTGTAGTAAGTGAAACTGAAAGATTGATTTTGACCATATATATTGTCTCCAAACTCTACCAACTGGGAATGAAGTCTTACCATATGCGGGTATGATATGACCATGGAGGTATACCTTCATGATATGACATCATATTTATATGGATGTGATATGTCTTCACCATGCATTGTATGTGTGTAATATGTCATATGGTCTAAAGCTTAAAAGATATATCATAGTAATAATGCCATATTCAGTATCAAGATATATAATAATTACTATTTGAAAATCAAAAACTTGATCACAAAATTGTGTTTTTCACAAGACCGCCATTTAAAAGTATTCCTATACAGTTTGGAAAATTAATGTCAGCTTCAGCTCTTCTTACTTGCTTGCGAAGTTTTTCCATTCTTCTGCAATCTTGTTTTCACTGTTGTAGTGTAAATCATGAATGATATACCTAAACGATCGAAAAGAAGCTAAAAGCAACACATTTAAGTGTAATGAACCAAGATTTAATTAAAGAACAATCAGACATGTTTCTTCTTATTCCTATACAATTCACTGAACTAGTTAACCCATAGCCAGGCTTGTCAAACTGTAACATAACAAGGATTATCCTCCTGTAGATAATCTGTTTTTTATGAGTTTTTATGATCTCTTGAATTATCTGTTGACTGATAACAAGGATTATCTTCAAGAGTATAATCATTTGAACACATCAAACTTTCACCTAATAAATTTAAATTTTCATAATGTGCTTCATCAGTTAAAGAAGAATAGTCTGAATAAGTATTGGGCGGATTAATTTCTAGGTCTGTAGACTCGTACTGATGAGTCTCCACAGGGTTGTCTGAAGATCTCTCTTGATAATTAAGCTCTGGCAGTCGATCTTTCTTCTGATGATCAGTAGATTCATGGTGCTGATCATTGGCATATTGATCATCTGCAGATTTGTTTAAATTCATCTCTTGTGGATAGTCTGGAAATTGGTAACTTGGGTTATCTTCTGTATATGCATAAACTATAATATCTGCTGGTTTATAAGAATTATCTTCTGAATAATAATCTGTTGATGCATAGTAATGATCCTCTTGCTCATTTACTTCATTTGTAAATTTTCATAATGTGCTTCATCAGTTAAAGAAGAATAGTCTGAATAAGTATTGGGCGGATTAATTTCTAGGTCTGTAGACTCGTACTGATGAGTCTCCACAGGGTTGTCTGAAGATCTCTCTTGATAATTAAGCTCTGGCAGTCGATCTTTCTTCTGATGATCAGTAGATTCATGGTGCTGATCATTGGCATATTGATCATCTGC